GCCGGCTCACGGCAGGAGCTGCAGGTCGGTGGCAAATTCAGTGATATGGTGCCGGTTGGTTGAGTGGGGTGGGCCGGCCGCTGACACTTTGTTTAGGCTCGGGAGCCGCCTTTCGATGTGCTTTGGCATTGAACAGTCTCGATGTCGACTGTCGATAATAGAATACCTGCGCTTCATAAGGTCCGACTCTATTTTTTGTCGTGCAACGGAACGTATCTGCTGACCTACACCTAGCTGTATTTGACGACATGTCTGGGACTGAATTTCCTTAAAAAACTCCCTCGGCTGTCGACGTTAATAACTCGAGAAGTTCCGGTTTGACCGTCTGACCTCCGTGACCTCACCCTGACCTCCCTGTGACCTCTCCCACAGATCACCGACCCGAGCGAGGGTCTGACCTCATCCTGACCTCCCTGTGACCCAGGCATCGGTAGGATTGTGATTGCAGGATTGCAAAATCCTGATTGCATTCCTTTTTGGTGGATTGCACCTGGATTTGAAATCCATTCCAAAAAACAGGATTTGATTGCGGATTGGATTGCATCATACTTCCAATTTTTGCAATCCAATCCGTTTGTGTTTGATTAGTGTTTTGAAATGGTTTGTTGCGATTGAAAATTATGAGATCGGCTTCATCGGCTTAATGTACTTTGCTATCAAGGGCTTTACATCGAAACTTGAAATAATTTAAACGTTTTTAATTTAAACGCTCAAAGTAATATACGCTGATGAACTACATAGGAAGGGCAAAATTACGTATTTGAGGGCGAGTTTTAGAAATATAAAACACTGGTTGGGTAGAGGTTTAAATGTGGGGGTGTTTGAGGCAAAAATATTTCCCATAAAATACCTGTGCCTTAGATATAGGCATTACTCGCAAGACTAGGTACTAGAGATGGGTGATTGGGGATGGAGGCACGGCCCGATGCCCCCTTCCCTCCCCCAGATCCACTAGTGCACATAATAATACAACAGGATTGCAAAAAAGGATTGCGGATTTGATCACAATCCAAGTGAAAAAGGGGATTGCGGGTAGGAATGCAATCCACTTCGGCACTAGGAATGTGGATTGGGAATGCAATCCTTTCAAAAAGGATTTTACCGATGCCTGCTGTGACCTCTCCCACAGATCACCGACCCGAGCGAGGGTCTGAAGCTGCGGTTCACCGGGACGGGGGTGGCCCTCGCTCAGCTGAGCGTTCAGTACCGACTCTTCTCTCGGAAGGAGGAGGGCGACATTCTGCTGGACGTGGACGCGGGTCACCACAGTCCGAACGGATCGCACGTCACCATCGGGCTCTGCGTCAGGTCGGTAGCCCGCGGATTGGGTCGTGGAAGCTGATCTTGTTTGAAATAATGTGATCGTATTGGAATATTTCCTTTTGGCTTTGGTCGTCATGACACATGCCACAAGATTCGTGTATTCGTATGAACCGTCTACTTAAACTTATGGGAACGAGTTGTCAACTATGTGCCAACTTATGTGAACTTAAGTTCAGAAAAGCGCATTTTCGCCAGTATATTTCACACGACTGGAGTTGGACTGTCTAACCTCTCTCTCCCCTCCCCCGTTCCCAGGCTCTCCGACCTATATGAGCGTCGCGTCTCGGGTGCCGTGGCCGTGCTCGCTGACGTACCCTCGGGTTACGGCGTGTCGGCGGCGGCGCTCCGTCAGTACGTACACAGCGGGGCCGTGCCGCGACTGGTGGCGGCGGAACTCGCAGCACATCGACTGCAGCTCGTCTTCAGCTCGGTAAGAGAGAGGGAGAGAGAAAGGGGGGAAGGGGATGGAGTAATGGAAATGGGTGGGGGAAAGGGAGCTATATTAGTCAGAGGATAAGAAATTGTTGTTTAGTTGAGACTTTATCGATGATGAACATGGGGCAAAATTAGATTCGCTAGTAGGTTCCCCTAATCAACTGTGGTAGCACTAGCACCAGGCTCCCATTCAACTTACGTTCAGGGAACAATAAACCATACTTCTTCCATCAATTCCGCATAGACTTCCATCGATATATCAGCTGTGACATTTTTACCCCCGTCTTGTTCCAGCTGGTCTCTGCGCCGGTGTGCGCGCGCATCACGGTGGTGCGGTGGTTCGCCGTGACAAACATGTCCCGGAGTCTGTCGGCAGAGGCGTACCCGCTTCACGAGCCCGGTCAGTGTCTGGTTGCTGCGAGTGCGGACGGTCGTCGGTCGGGACCGTTTCCTTTTCCATGATCGAAGCAGAAGTGACGGAATATTATGTAACGGAGATGCATGGTTTTATGACGCTCAAGAAGAAAATGTAGTGACAGTGTGTTGAAATTATGTTTAATAACATGTCGGGTGTAAAGCCGACCGGCGTCCGTATTCGTTACGGAGCGAGCGAAGCGAGCGGAGTCTTTCCTTAGATTAACGGAAATTTCTGAGTATGAGCGGCCGGCCGGCCGTGCGGACGCTTTTGCGAGGCTTATATCTCAGCAACCACTTGACCGATTTACACGCGGTAATTTTTGTAGGGTAGCTTCATTCCTTCTACCAAGCATTGGACTATTCCTGATACATGTGGGTGACCCCTTATGCACGTGCCACGTGCAAAACGAAGAGGTGTCACTTTTGTAATTGTTGCAATATCTCGGTAACTACTTGGCCGATTGCGCTGAAAGTTGGCATGTAGGTAGGCACCCACTAGGCACTGCATATCCATGTGCCAGAGTTGGGGTGCTGCTGCACGTGCGCACGTGCAGGGGTCGTTTCCAGATCTCGAGAACGGCTCTACCGATTGCGCTCAAATTTGGTACACGGTTAGGGACCAGTTAGTAGGGTGCCGTGCACAAGTCAGTTGGGACCCATTTTGCACGTGCGCACGTGCACGGTGCCGCTCCCAGATCTCGAGAACGGCTGGGCCGATTGTGCTCAAATTTGGCACATCGCTAGAAACCGGTCAGTAGCGTGCCGTGCACAAGTCAGTTGGAGGTACCCCCTCGAAATTTCGCACGTGCAAGACTCACCCCCTCGCTCGCTCCGTTAGTCGCCCCAAAAGGCGCTATACTGATGGTATAGGATAAATCTCTACCAATTTTTCAGCTAGCAAATTACGAATGATGTTCCATTCTTTTAATGCAAAGGGTTAAATGTCGTTTTAACCTCGTTGCTGAGCGAAAGTCAAGTACCGAGTTTCCAAGTCGGCACTCCTCTACCAGCGGCCTCGAGTACTTCCCCGCTGACCGCTGACCGCTGACCGGTCGCCGTCGGTCCGTTTCAGAGCGCCGCTCGTCGGCCATGTTCGACGTCTCGGAGCTGTCCCGGTACGGTCTGTGTGACCTCTGCGGCAGCTACCAGTGCGGCGGCTGCACGGCCTCCAGCCGAACCAGCGGCGCCGCGCCGACCTCGGCACCACTGGTGACCCTGCTGGTGACCGTGCTGGTGGCGCTGGTGCTGCCAGTGATACCGGCGAGGGTGTGGAGGTGACTCACGGAGCTGTGACCGGCCGCGAGGGCCTGACTGCCCAGAGAAGGGACCCAGCTATGCAATGTCGATGGGGTGGCGCAAGGAAGCGTGCTGTGCCCTGCACTGTTCGTGATGTCTAAATTCCCTGTCGACGGGACAGTGTTCGGTTGCTCGCGGGTCTGAATGTTTATCGGCGTTTTGTTGCGGCCGCCGGTGCCGCCTGCAGGCACGGCGGCTCACGTCGGGCCGACAGGGACGTGCCAAACTGAGTTCGAGTTGCTTCGTTTTTGTTACCGTTTTGCTCAGAGCCGCGCGGACACCGCCGTGCGATGTCGCGTGTTTTGGTGTCACTGCCGTCGCCCTGTTTCAGAGTGCTTGCTTTGGGTTGCACTGCCAGTTGGCGACGAGCGTGCTGGGTCCAGGAGGCGACGCGTTTGTGACTCTCCCGATCGGGAGATTTCACGGTCTCAGAAATTTCCAGTTACGTAAGCGGAGAGCTGTCTGTTTGTGTGAGCGATTTCGGCGAGGTTGGTTAGATGCGATGTATGTTCGATCGCACCGAGTGAGTAGAGAGATGTGTATGGCGAAACGAGAGTGCACGAGACGCGAACATGAATGTAATCTAGTCAATGGCGACAGCTACTGAATGTGGGCCGGGAGAACTGTGACGTTACTCTTCTGGTGACAGCAGCGCCTGGTCAGCTGTAAAGCTAGTATTTATTGATTAGCCTACTGTACAGATACCGATGATTATTTGTATACGTGAATACAGCCAAGTATGCCATGTTGTTGTCGTTTGTAGACATCCGTCGCTTAAACGTTCCAACATGATTGTGAGGTGTAGGTATTGCGAGCGTGTGCTTTTCAGCGACATTCGGAGCTTGCTGCTCCATGTGGAAAGGAACGGCTGCCTACACGACACGACCTCTATCGAGACTCGTTTATTTGCCACCCTCAAACCTCACACTGTGAATGACAAGCTATCATTGACTTGTAAGGCTTAAACTATAAGCTGCACTCGGCTTCTTGATTTGTGACTGATCAATATTATTTTACCCCGCCTTCGTCCTTCGATGTCTCGGATGGCGAAGATTCTACGCCGTCCGGCCAATCCCGTTCAAGGTCAGCGGGGGCTTGGCTGCGGGAATGGAACGGGATTGGCCGGACGACGTAGAATTTTCGTCGTCCGAGAGACATCGAACGCGGTGTCAATGTCATTGAAAGCTGACACTGTATTCCAGCAATGCAATAAGACATGTAAAATATATCCTTTTATTTTAGTGGTTACAAGTTTTTGGCCGTTGTGGTCGTTTGCTCCGTTTATGGTGCGCAAGAGACAATCGAGTTTTACCTACATTTCATTTCATATGATGCTCAAGATGCTTACGTCATCAGACATCATAGCATTCTATTTGTGTAGTTTTGATGTTTTAACTAAAAATTGCACTTTGATAAAGATAAACAATAATGTTTTGAGAGTTTCTGATCTTAAATTGAATAAAACTTACCAGTTAAGGGATGAAACGAAACATTTTTGACAAAAAGACGTCAGCAAATATGAACACGTCACACACTAATTTGAAGTGCGTTGTCTCGTGCTGTGAGCTTTGTTTACGTAGCATTATTTTAGCAGACCGATGATACGACTTCCGCATCAGTTATTTTCAATCAAATTTTTATTTGGAGCGTGTGGCTGTGATAATTATTTCGTTGTGGTTCTAGTTCATTGATGTTCATTGTAATCTAGAGATACTGATATTGCCTTCAGTGATCGATTGTGTTATTGAAGTTGATATCGCCTGCCTTTGCCTTTGGTAGGTACCTGAGTTCATAGTTATGTTTTTTGTAAAGGTATTGTTGTTAACTGGGCCCTGTTTCACCGCCGCCCGACGCTGCACGCGCTGCAGCACACTGAAAGCTAAGGCATACCCCTGACGCCACGAATGACGATGTGGTGACGAAAACATAACAAACCAATGACGAATGACGAAAACATAACCAAAAACGAAGCAACTCGAACAGAGGTCCTAAAGAACCAAGTACAAAGAGAACAGAAATTTGAGTGCAAATGCTGCTAGTGTACTGCTGGTGCTGGCGGCGCGGTGCGCCAGCGTTTTGTCATAGCTTAGCGTCAGAGTGAAGTTTGTTGATATTGCCATGGAAACCCAACACGCCGACGCGCGCAGGCACTGCAGCACTCTGCCGTGAAACAACACCCTAGTTACCACAGCTGATAGGTTGATGAGCTAGTAAGGCTGTCATGGAAAATAGGTTCTTAGCTGGTTGATTGAATTTTGGATATTGAATTAGTTCAGAGCTAAGCATTATTAATTTGCTTTGAGATTCTAGGACAAGCCTTTGTTCAGCCATCTTCAACCAGAACAATTAAAATAAACATAACCTAGGCTAACCTGAACTGACCTGGCTTTACCTAACCTTACCTTACACATCCTATCCCTAGTTAGTTAGGCTTTATAGCCAATGTGGAAGTTTTACAAGAGAAGTTAATTGATGAATATTTGTGCTGACAGATCAAGATATTGTCTGGCATTGTATTACCAATGAGATAATGGCATATGTTCCATCTCTATGTTCCATCTGCATTTATACCTATATTTGGTGCCATAACAATAAAGGAGTGCTTATTGTGGTATAATGTCATCTGCATTCCTCTTTCCCAATCTGAAATAAGCCCATGGCTACACCTATCTATGGTGTTCACCAGTTAGGCTGTTAGGCTTTCTATCTCACTGAGTGGACACTCAGAATAGGTACTTACCAGGTTCAAGTAGCCAGGTTCAGGATTGACTAAGCACAAGTCCCAGTTTAGCTATGAAACATGATTATTTAAAGTCAATAATCACTGACTTCTATGAGCTGAGGGTGTCTGATTCAAACTCTAGCCTCTAGTTGCCTCAGCTTTAATTCAATAAATTTGCCATTGACAAGCAGATAGTGCAAGCCCAATAAGTTAAACAATATAGATGTAGTTTATGGGGATTGGGAATATGCATTGCCCAATTTGACATTTTTGTTTTTTACTTAAACACACACCTACTTTAATGAAAGTGTCAGTAATTTTGACTCTTGTAACACCTGTTTTCAGGCCTGTAGTTGGTATTCCAGTCTGTTTGAGAGGCCCATCTTCTACAGGCACCAGTTGACCTCACCACTGCCCTCTGTTCTCTCAATTCCAGCTGAGTTAATCTCACCACCTCCCAAGCTGCCACCTAATGAGGAAGCGTGTGGGTGAGGACGGTATGGCGGGGGCGCCGTCCGACGCTGGGCACGACAAGTCGGACTCTCACGGCGGCGGCGGTCTGCGCGGTGACGTGGCCAACATCTGCCTGCTGCTGCTGCTGTACGTGCTGCAGGGCATCCCGCTGGGCCTGGCCGCCGCCATCCCCATGATGCTGCAGAACCGCGGCGTCACCTACTCGCAGCAGGCAGAGTTCAGTTTCGCCTTCTGGCCGTTCAGCCTCAAACTGCTGTGGGCGCCCATCGTGGACGCCTGCTATGTGTCCCGGTTCGGGCGCAGGAAGTCGTGGCTGGTGCCCGTGCAGTATCTGATCGGCCTGTTTCTGCTGGTGCTCTCGTCACGAGCGGAGTCGCTGATCGGTGGTGAGCACGAGAAGCCGAACGTGGCCCAGCTGACGACGGTGTTTTTCTCGCTCAACTTTCTGGCGGCCACGCAGGATATTGCCGTGGACGGATGGGCGCTGACGATCCTGCAGAAGAGGAACGTCGGACACGCGAGTACCTGTAATAGTGTTGGGCAGAGCGCCGGCTACTTCCTCGGCTTTGTGGTGTTTATAGCTCTGGAGTCGGCCGAGTTTTGTAACAAGTACCTGCGCGCGGTGCCGCAGGCTCAGGGACTAGTCACATTCTCAGGTAAGTGGAGAGACTTGGAGAGTGTGGGTCTGGGTGTTGTTTAGTATTCCTATCTTGCTCTCTGTTTCGTGACTCTGCTTTTACTTCTCGTCTGTCTGCTCATCAGTAATTGGTTCATTTTTAGGGTTTGCGTAGTCAAATAGCATTGGCTGTCACTTCTTATAGCCACATCAAGTTATTCGTCAATACCGCCGGTTTATCGATAGTGATGCCGTGTTTAGCTGACCCCACCCCGCGCCCACCCCCAGGTTTTATGTTCTTCTGGGCGGTGGTGTTCCTCCTAACGACCACAGCGGTGGCTCTGTTCAAACACGAGTCCCCTCTGAACCGAGACGGTACGCGTGACCCGGAGCTGGACGTGCGAGAGACCTACTCACAGCTGGTGCGGATCACCAGTCTGAAGCCGGTGCGCACGCTGATCGCCATTCTGCTCACTGTGAAGGTGAGAAAGAGGGGATAGGGTGAGAATGTGGGGTTGAGTTACAGTGGGTCAGGATGGGGGTGTTGGATAGAGAAGCTAAGTATGTTGGGTAGGATAGGGTAGGGCACAGACTGCAGTACATGCAGTATGCATCCTAATCAGCGGGATAGTTCTGTATCTCAGTTCGTGTTGAGTGGCACGGTCCCAGTGACAGTGTCCTCTCTGGGCGCTTTCTGACCTATATCCGTCGTGACGATACAGTCAGTATGATTGGCAGAAACTACCGGTATTGGTCACCGTGACCTTTTGCGACAAATCGCTCATGCGTTACGGCCTGACCAGTCAGAAACGACTGGCGTATCTGGTCTAGCAACTATCCAATGGAAGAAAGGAAGAAAAATTTTCATTATTCATTAAAAGCCATCGCCGACCCGGCGTGGGGCGTGAATACGATAATGGCACCGATGAAGTTGCACCTTTTGCCGACACTAAGCTAGCCGTGCGGCTGAACTATATCTTACGGTTTTTAGTCATTATATTCGAGCCACTCTCCGTACAGCGCCAATCGCAACCATCGTTCTTTTTTGTCAACACCCAGATAACCTCACCTCGGCTGTCCCTCAGATCGGTTTCTCGGCTGCCGACGCCGTCACCGGTCTGAAGCTGGTGGAGGCGGGCGTGCCCAAGGACCGGCTGGCGCTGATGGCCGTGCCCATGAGCCCGCTGCAGGTGCTGCTTCCCTTCTTCATCAGCAAGTACACGGCTGGACCGAGACCCATGAGCCTGTTCCTGCGCGCCATGCCCTGGAGGTCAGTTGCGTGTAGCCCAGGGATGGGAACGGCACGTGCGGGTAGGTGAAGGCGAGTTAATGTGAAGCAGGAATGTTTACGTGTATTACGTGTGACGTTGTCTGTGACTATGATGAATCGCTGAATCCTGTAAGACTCGTACCTCTATAATTCTTCACCAAGTGTCCACCAATATTTGTTCTGTCGAAACGATGAAACGTGTGGGAAACGATGGCAGCTGATACCATGGCTCAGTGATTCCCAGCCTTTGTGAAATGCTCACCAGGGGCGTTAGGGTCGCGAGCGACCGTGGCCGCTCACGGGTCATCAGTCTGGCCGTTCAAATTGGTCTAGTAAGGACCTCCCGACTCTATGTCGAGGAAGTCTCCACACTTGGCTACTCTGCCGCTTCACTCCCTGACCCTATCCCTCCTCCCCCGTCAGGCTGCTGTTTGGTCTCATCATGGCCGGCCTGGTGTACGTCACGCCCCTGTTCAAACTGGAGGACGCCTCGTTCCCGCTGAGCTACTACGGCCTCATTTTGGTTGTGTTCGTACTGCACCAGGTGGCGCTCTACTCCATGTTTGTCTCAGTGATGGCGTTCTTCGCTCGGATCTCGGACCCGGCCGTCGGTGGAACGTACATGACGCTCCTGAATACGGTCACCAACCTCGGTGAGGAGAGGAGGGAGAGTGGGGAGGAGGGGAGGGATGCAGACAGATGATATAGGGTGGAGGAAGGGATAGGGTATGGCAGGGAAGTGAGTTGACCTGAGAGAGGGAGGGGTCCGAGCCGCGGAGTAGAGACAGATTTCAGGCGTGACAGTAGTGCGGTCTAGATGGTTGTGTGTTTGAGATATGGCATGGTCCGTATCTGATCTCTCCGTCGCCCAGTTCGCCGTGACCCTTCGTTCCCCAACCGTACCAAACTCACCCGTGATCCTTCTTCGAAATATTCGTAATTTGTCCGTATTCCGTCTGCGCCCTGGCCTGTGATCTGTCCGTGATCCACCTGGTCTGTTTTGTGTTCGTGACACATTGGCTCTCATTTATTTTCCCCATTCATTCGCCACCCGTGACCTCTCGTGTCCCGTCGGTGACAGATGACCTGCCTCTGGGCCACCATCTCCCGTCCGTGACATGTCTCTAACCTGCCGTAACCTGCCTTTGACCCACCGGCGCCCCGTCCTCACCCCCAGGCGGTAACTGGCCGGCCACTATGATGCTGTGGATGGTGGATCAGCTGACGTGGAAGACGTGTCCCTCCGGTCTCGGCTGTTCGACTAACGCGGTAAGGAGTGGGGACAGAGTGTCCGCTGTGGGAGACTGGTGGGCGGTGGTGGGTGGTGGGAGGGTTGGCTGTGGTTGGGCTGCACTCCTAGCATCAATTATTGGCGAATGCTGAAAAAGGCTTTTGTGGAATAGTGTGCATGCCAAGGTTTTTTGTGCTGGGGACCAATGGCATATAATCCGGGGTTTCGATTAAGTGGCCGGTTTGTGCACTTTTATCCATAGTATTTGTGGTATGCCATGGATAGCCAAGGAATTTGTCGTGAAGTTTTTTGTGTGTGTTGCATTGTGTTATTGAACTTCTGGGTTTCCTCGGCTGTGAGTCGCAGCTAGTTATATAACAGTCGCCAAGGAGACTGGCGCTCTGCTGGCTAGCGTGGGTGGTTCGGAGGGCCTGAACGGGGTGGACAGCCACGGTGAATGCCCCGAAAAGCCGGCCACTGGGCCTTCCCGCCGTCCACCTTTCCCCCTTTCCCCACCCTCCGCCCCCGCGCGGTACACCCCACGGTTCCCCTCGGCCCTCAGTGAACCCCAGTCCCGCCCCGGCTCGGCCTCTCGTTCTGGCGACCTTTCACAATGGCCGCCTTTCCGCCGCTGTCAGTGTTTCTCCGTGTTCAGGGACGGGTGACGCTGAAATTGTGTGCCACGCGCGGTGTGCCTTTCCCGGGCTTTCCTAGCCGGCGTAGTCGGCGCCGTTAGTGCCTACCGTGACCAGGCGGAGGGACATTTCTGGGCGCGCCAATGTGACTGATGATGATTGGAAATGGCGGCAGTCGGTCACGCCTATCCAGATCGCCGCACAGTGTGGCCAAATGTTAATTAAGCGAATTTTGCATAATTAAAGGGAGATAATGACCTTTTTCCACAAAATCTGAGTTAGGATCATTTTCTGACAAAACACAACAAGTTATAATGTAAATTAAAACCATTTTGCTCAATGCGGTACCTTGCCGCAAATATCTCAACTTGAAGTCACGTTAGCGGGGAGCGCTGAAAATGACCGTTGAATAAGTACTTACATCACTTTTTGGTACTTGCATGTAATTTTGTAAAATGAGCGTATTCCTTACATTTGATCTTCATCACATCTAGTTAGTTAATGGTCGTCTATAGTGCCTTCAAAAGATATTCATGGTTTGGAGGTTGTTTATGTCTAAATTTACGCAACTATTTTTCCTGTTCATCATCTGAGGCCATATGCTGCTATTTTAGTAGCAACGACTCAATTTTGAATCGGTCCCGCCGACTGCACAATAAAAGAAGATAGATACAACACTTTTGCGGCATCACTGAAAAACTTATGCAGTACTGTTATCAAAATTCTCATAACACCGTTCGACAAACCTGAAGTCTTTTTGAAATAAATATGCTTGTATTTTTCGCTTCAGGCTCTGAGGCCAAAATAATGAATTTCGTAGTCGCAATCGCAAGATTTGGCTGCGTTTCTGGCGCATGCCGTTCATTTGTGGCGCAAAATAATACTTGGAAACAAAGAAGAGTAGGCACTATGTACGAATCTAATTAATTCTAAACCGAATTAACTCTAATTCAAATTAGAATCCTTACAACCAAGCAACGACAAGGCGATAACATAAACAAAAACCCAAGCGTCGCTGTTTGAAACAAAAGCGCCATATACTGCGACTTTTTTATAGAGAAGGACAAGAAGGACAACGCATTTCGGTGGGTGTTACAAGTACTGCAAGTACTGCTTCTTTTTTGCAAAAATAAAAACCTTTTTCACATACGAAAATGTGCTAGGAAATTTTCATATTTTATAGAAACTACAGTAGAAATAGTATAGATGTCGAGTAATTTTTATTAAAGAAAAAAGAAAGCTCATTATCTCCCTTTAAGCAACGAATTTTGGATTTTTAACTTCTTATGGCACTCAATCGATAGCAAATTGTCCAAAGAATGTCAATATCTTGATTTCTAGTCAAATTTCCTTGTTTCGGTGATAGAATAGCTACCGGAAGTGGAACGCGCATTGTTTCTCCTGGCTGAGCTGAAATGGTAAAAATTGCATCACAGCTCGGCACCCCTTGGTCGGAATTTTGTTGGAAAACTGCTCCCGTGACCCCTCTTCGTGTTTTTCAGCTCGCCTCAGGTCATGTAAGGTCTCCAGCAGTTATTTTGAAGATAACTTCAAGAAAAGACGTACTATACTCTCGTAATCCGTGCTCAGAGGTTTTTATCATTAGTGGAAAAACCGCGGCGCGTAGCGCCTCGAAATTTGGCATGACTATTCGTTCATCAATTTTACACATTGTATGCAAGTTTGAACCGTCTAACTTTCAAGCTCAGGTCACCAGGCCACTTAGAATGATCCGACCTTCATTCACTTTTTGCAACTTTGTTACCGTGTCAGCGCTACAGTAGATGACCGAGTGGTTTGAAAATGCGGGATATCGCAAGGTGATTGTTAGCTACAGCTTGTTTATCTCGGAATTATGATATCGATGACCTAAGGTCAGGAGGTCAATTTGGGGATAAAATCAACTGCCTGATTTTTCCACTGAAACGCGTCGTAATGGCCAATTATGCAATGGATGAGTTTATATATGACTGACATTGACTTCTGTGATGTCTTGTGTGCTCTTGGTCAACTGTAAGGTCATGTGACGTCATCAAAGGTCACCAAACGTCTTTTGCTAATAACTCCTAACAGAAAAGCTGAGATGCAGCCCCGGGAATGGTCTCATTGTGTTCAGGTCGTCAAGGCGCATCGATTGATATCCATGATGACCTTGGTCACGTGACCCACGGTCAACCGTCGATCTTGACCTTCGAGGTCAAAATTGCATGCTTCGATGCGGATTGACGAGAGGATCACGATGGTGCTATTAATTTTTGCCTGGGTTGATGAGTTTTCGTTAAAACTCCTTTTCTTTAGCGCCGTTATTTTTTGCTTTTTGAACCTGACCTGACGTCACATTTGGCCTGACCTGAAGATGACCTCGGTAAAAAATGTAGACTTTGTGCGTCTGTATCCCATGCCGTTTACCGCTTGTCGCTAGCTTGCCAGGCATCCGCCTCCCCCCCCCCCCGCCCCTCTGTTGGTGCGAAGATGGCGCGGACCCTCGTTGGTGCGCGGGCGCGGGGCTGGGGTCTCCAGCCGAACGCGCGGGGCTGGGGGGTAAATTTTACCCCCCCCCCTGTTATCTCCCGAACTAATGATCCGATTTGGAAAATTCAAACGCCAATCGAAAGCTCTCATCACGAACAACTAAAAACATGTACTTAATTTAAAGTTTGAGGTCAAGGTCAAGTTCAGGTCAAGGGTACAAATTGCAAGTTTCTACAGTATCGGCCTTGCACCGTAGTTGCCGAAGAATGGAGTCATGGACTGAGACTGATCGCCCAAAACGTGTTCTTAGGCTACCAAGACAATATTCGTTGCATACAATATCATTCAGAGGTCAAGGTCAAGGTCAGGTCAGGTCAGGTCACCAAAAACAAAATATAGAAAAGGGCATGTGCGACACATGTTTTATGGGTCATTTTACTCATATAATTCAATAGGCACACTCAATAAGTGATATGGACCACCTCTGGATGAATTTCAGGTCGAGGTCAGGTCAATGTCAGGTCAAGTGAGGTCAAATTTTGAAGTTGGTTGATAAGGCCTAAAAAGGTGTCTATCTGATGCAATTTTTCACGGCGAATCGAATGGTGCTATTTTTGTTTCCGTACGAGGTCTAGAACTTCCAAAAAAGTCATTTTTCAAAAAATTTGTGTGTCGTGACGTCATAAAATTTTGAATAACTCCTACATTTTTGAACCGATTCTTCTAAAATTTGGTATCTAGGTGCACATAGACCACTTCTCTGACATATATTCCGGTTTTTTCGACAGACTCAAAATTTTGGATTTTATAATCATTTTCCCAAAAAAGTCAGTTTTTTTGAAAAAAAATAGGCCAAAATCCAAAATTTTCAAAAAACCGAGATAGCCATTTGATAGACAAAGTAAAATTATGTATAACCTTTTTTTGTTACGTCTTGATTCCTTTAAAAATGAAGATGTTAGCGGCGTTTGAACTTTTGCCGTTTTTGAGGCGAAAATGGCGAACATGACGTCACTAAAACGTCAATTTCTCAAAAATTTTCCGACGGATTTCGCTCAAATTTTCAGGGAACGTGTCAAATTGATGTAAGAAAAGGTACTGAATGTTTGGCGGCGCTGCGCGCCGCCGTTTTTGAGATATCGCAAAAATTCGCGAGGGGGGGGGGTAAAATTTACCCCCCCCAGCCCCGCGCGGGTTAACCCGCGACCGCCTGGGGGGGTCGGATCCGACCCCCCCTCCGTTTTTCTTGAATAACTCAAGAACCGCTTACGCTATCAACTTGAAACTTGGCATACCTTCTCCCCCATCAATTTGACGTCTTCTGTGTAATTGTTAAGAAAAAATTTCCAAAAATTTGTGAGATATATCGATTTTAGTGATGTAACTACATGGCGTTTTTAGTCAAAAAGTGGTAAATGTTTTAAAAAAATCGCAAAAAATCAGGGTTTGAAGCAAATTGCAAATTAAGGACATGAATAGACGCAACTCAACGAGTTCTTTAAAATGGCTATCTCGGATTTTCCATAAAATGCGTTTTTTACCCCTAAAAATTCAAAAAACTACATTTTTTGGAAAACAGCTAATAAAATCCAAAATTTTGGGAATTTCCAAAAAAAAACCGGAATACATGTTATAGAGCTCTATTAGAACATTAGATGTCCCAAATTTCAACTTTCTATCTTGATTTTTGACCCCCAAATTGTAAAAAAATAGCTTCAACATGCATAGGGCATGGTGACGTCATAAGCATTTTCGTGAATTAGAGGCACTTCTGAACATCGCATGTGAAAACAAATGGCACCACTAGATTCCTGGGACAAAGCTCGTCTAGAAAAGTGCATTTTTATGTCAAAAATAAAAAGTTGAAAAAATGACCTTTTTTCTCAGCCCTCGTTTAGTTATGTATGGTATAAACGATTTTTTATGCTTTCAATGCACACTTATCACCAGCACAGTGACTTGGGGTCACATATAACCATTGCCATCGGATTCGGCGTGAAAAATAAGCCATAAAACATGTGTCGCACGTCCATGTAGCAGAAAGTGAAATCCGTGACCTTTCGTGACCTGACCTGACCTTGACCCGTACTTAGTATGACCCCTATACGCTCATGGTACCTTCACTAGGCCTTTGAGGTCATTTTTGGTGAGTTTCGAGCAGCAGCTATCGATACCGCTGTCCGTAAGCCTAATCATGCAAAACCCCAGAATTTGACCTTTGACCTGACCTTGCCCCAAAGTTGACCTCAATCTTAAAATCTTAAGAGTGCTTTGGGAAGGTCTCGTAGAGACCTTTCGAACGCCGCCTCGCGGGGCTCGATACGACCATTGGTTCTCGAGATAACAGGGGGGGGGGGGGGTCGGATCCGACCCCCCCCCCCCCCCCCCCCCAGGCTGTCGTGGGTACGGAAATAGCCCAGGCGGTGCCAGGTTAACTGTTAGCCACACCGTGCGCCGATTCCCGAAACGCTGTTTCTTCTGTGACGGCCGTCAGTTCGGGTTACGGACCATGCTATAGCCTTGGTCAGTTTTTCGATGCCTGGATAGCTCCTTCTCGGTAGTATATTTCCCACCAGTGTGAGTTATATAACTGAGGTGCCTCACGTAAACCGCAATGTCGCTTGGATCGATACCACAGGTGAAATACCGCGAAAATTGTGCTCACGGTTGTAGATGACATACTACTTCTGGTATTCGCCAGAAATCCCTATTGTCATACTTGATGACCCCGCGGTGCCTCGCGCGTGTCGTGTCTCCACTGCAGACTGTCCGCGGCAGTGTTCTAAAATTGGATATTGGTTGGGCGTGCCGATGAAGAAAAAAATCCTAGGATGAGAAAAAAGAAAGTGAATAACTGAAGTATTTTTGCAAAATGATCTAATGCCAATTTTTATGCCAACTGATAAGCCAGGATTTCATGTCAGGATCTTGACAGGGTGTGGAACAAAAGGATGTGAGTGCATCAACTGTCAAGTGGCATGTGAACTGTCTGTTGGGAATACATGAAACTCTTCAGAGATGAAGTAAAGTCGGTCATTCGTGTTTTAGGGATGAAAATATTTTCCCCATTAGGTGTGATTTGCCACCAAAAAGTCTGAAAAATGGAGCACTGGTCCGCGGTGTCTAACCCTCCTCTCCCCCCTACAGGACTGCGGGGAAGGCGAGGCGGCCCTCTGTACCACCACTCTGGACGGTTACTACATCGAGAGTCTGGCGTGCGCCTGCTTCGGCTTCCTGTGGCTGCTCTGGGGCCGGCACCGGCTGCTGCGTCTTCAGTCGCTAGATCTATCGGCGTGGCGGTACAGGAAAATTGGTGTGTGATTATTAAATCCGACCCGCGCGGTATAGGACCACTTGGTGTCACTGGCGGTGGACCAAAGTCATGGAAGGTGGGTCAGACTGGCTCCAGAGGTGGGAACAGAGGTGTGACACAGGGTCCAGTCTGTGGGTTGTGTTCGTGGGCCGCTGGTGGTCCCACGTGTTTGGATGAAGTTGACAGATGACACATTTGTTTGTGTATGAAGTATTTAAGTTTATTGTTATTTTGAACAGGGCGGGTTGTTGTTTCGCCATATAACCGTCTCACAGGGTGGGGCAGCTAAGGCACAGCCCGCGTAGCACAATGTGTGGCCATCTTTAGACGCCCACAGAGGGGTACGGAGGGGCTCCCGTGTTTCTTCTGTACCTGTATCGTGTGCGGGGGTTGTGTCCCACGTTCCTTCATCAAGCAGACTATGGAGGCAAGAACCTGAACGATAGCACAATCATGGTTCGAAACGCATATTCCAGATTGACCAAGGTAGTCACCTCATTAAGTTCCTTTCCTCTACAGTTTCTGAGAGCTCACCGTTATTAAAACATCCACCCCGTGCGCGACGTATCAAGTCGCTACTTGTCAGCATCTTGTGAGAATGCTGATATATGGTGATTCTACCCTTATCGTGTGTTGCGTCTGTGTGCATATGAACACGGGTGGTGGTAAACGGGGTGGGGACTGGGCAGCGTTTTGGGGAAAACAATCATGTCGTCTGGTTGTTATACATTGTTCAGAGGAAAGTCACCCGGCCCGTGGCACGGTTGTCACTTGTCTTCGAACACGCCTACTGTTGTACTTTACAATGTTGGATGTTTGTGTGTTGTCAAGTCGCGCCGCCTTCATACATTCCCGGCAGTGTTGAATTTTAGTTATGTTTCTGACATGGATTTCGTAATTTCAATGTTTACAATGACATGAATACAAAATTGAAGTGTTAATACTTGACCTTTTGTTGCCTTCCCCCCCCCCCCCGCCCTCCAGTGGTCTCGGCCTAGCTGGTTACGTTATGCTCGTTAAAGATGACGCATAGCACCTATTGCGGCACTGAGCTCATAATCTCAAAATCGGCCGACATGCGTGACACAGAAGGCACTGTCAATGCGATTTAATAGCATGGCGGCTGGGAGGACGTCCGCGAATCCCCCCCCCCCCTCCCTGAAGACCACTTCTTTCAGCCTGATCTGGCACCGCGAACATTGAATGCACCTCTTTAAGAGCCGCACGGGCTTGTATCTAAGAAAGCAAGTTAGCTGCGTCCACCGGATATCCTACTGAGTCGCTTGTTTCTGAGGCTGCAGTGAATTGCTGTTGCGAGAATCGCGGCCGTAAAATATAGGTGTATGAAATTCCATCCTCCGCCATATCCTTTGCTGCTCACATGTACCAGTAAGGTGATCAGTATTTTTTGTCGATTAGCTGCATCAAACGCTATTTTGAGGTCGCGATTCGATCATAATACTGTCTATAAAATGTGCCTGGTGATATCACCAAGCCGTCTCCGGGTCCTGCCGAGTTCCATTCAGCAGCAAATGTACCACAAAGCCCACGCTGTTGCCAACAGAGTTAAAAAAGAAGTAAGCAGTCGGCAAGGCAAATTTAGTCATTGGCACGACGATTGTTTCAGATCAGAAGGTCGGCTACTTTCCTAAGCGTTGTGAGAGTAGCCAGCTATTGGACGTGACCGCGGGGCTGTGTGGTAGGTCAAACAATTACCGACCGTGGGTATCGGTGAAGCGAACTCAACTCGAACAGTGTACGCATTACATTTAAGGAATATCGATGATGACAGCTCCTTTCCGTGACAAGGTTCCCATGCCGGTGCGTGTTGTCAGCAATAGCGTCCAGTAGATAACTTAGAAATATGCCCAGCGAACTGAGTCTTACCCAAAGTACGCTGACACCTTCCTCTAGTCTCCTTCATCTACGTCTTTGCCGCCCCTTCGTTTTACGTCGCCACCAAAACACGCAGGGTGAAAACAAACCACACACGCATATATTATAACACACCGATAAATAATGAATATGATTGTACACAGGGTTATAAAAATGATGATCGGCGCAGGCTGGCGTCGCAAACAAAAACAAAAACTTCTTGTCTAAAAATCTAAGACTTGCAGACATAAAACCACTGTTGGTCAATCAGCTCAAACTTGAAGAGATTCAGGCGCGGTAAACTACTGAAACATGGCAGGAACAACGTCCACTCGCACGAAAAACACCTTCCCTCGCGGAGGAAACACCTCCCTCCCGCACAGGAAACACTTTCCCTCACACAGAGGAAACACACCGGAAAACTTTCCCCTCGCAGAAGAAACGCACCATACCCCCGCGGAGGAACACCTTCTCTAACGCCTAGTGAAGCACCGTCCCCTCGCACCCCGCGGTCCATCACTCGTCGCATCTGTCTCCGCACTCCCTCTCACGGTCCTCACTCGCCTGTCCTCTCAGCGGCGCACCATGCGGCAGGTGCCGGCCGCGCAGCCCTGGCACAGCGCAGGGTCGTGCGCCTGCTGCGGCCGGCCGAAGCGGCGCTGGTGGCCCGCCGGCGGCTGCGGCCGTGGTAGGTGCGGGTACAGCTTACTGCTCACCTGGCAGTACAGCTCCATCAGCACCTGGAGATGGAGAGGGAGGGAGCGGTCAGAGACGAAGACACGGTCACTGGTAGGGCAGATACGCAGCACATCGAGACACCAAACGGTCAAAACAGGGACCAGCTACGACCATAGACAGCGGCTTGTTCCGTGCTCCGTCTACTACCGTGAAACGTCTGCCGCATATTCCGCAACGCTCCTCTCTTCCTCTGAAGCCTCTCCCTCCTGTACCCGCTGTTTAACTGCGCTACGAATCAGAAATGTTTCGCCATACGTCCCCCTCCCTTCTAAAAGAGCATCCAGTAGATTACAAACACACTAGACCCGCGCGTCACGGTGACAGAACTCCCGGGGAGCCCTGTCACGGACTTCAGACTGCTGCCCTGTTGACTGCTGTCTCACGGTTCGGTAAACGTTCCGCTCATTGGGGTCGGGCGAAACGGAACTGGCCTGCGGACTTCACAGGGCAAAATTCCCTTCACTAACTGCGAGTCAGTAGGTACAACTTGATGCGTTTTTGATCGTCGGAAGTTGTGGCATGGTGGCTGTCACCAAACATTAAATATTCCATGAAAATTTACCAGCATGAACATTTAATGCAGCCAAATGTTCTAAATTACAAATATCAATGATAAACCCCTTGAACAACACACAAAAAGATCTTAAGTGTCCAACCATCCACCTCGACCGCCTGTCCGTCCCGGCGGTGCCACGGAGTCGTGGCGGGCACCTGATCCGGCACGATCAGACCATTTTCACTGTATCACGGCCCGCTGCGCCGCCGGCGGCCGGCGCTCACAGACCTACCCCACTATCGGGAAAACCCGCGGACGGCGCCGGCCGGCCGGCCGCCCCCGTCCCGTCTCCGCTATGTTCGCCGAACGTGCCACTACTGCGGCCAGGTGCGGCGCCACCCCCCGCCCCCGCCCCTGCCGACAGGTTCCGGGTCATTGGGATGTCCGGTTCGAGCGGGGGCGGGGGCGGGGTGTGGGGCCGCCCCCGACCGGGCGGCTAGTTCCCACCCACGACCGTAATCCGCGTGTGTGTGACACTGATCTTGACCTGGCTGGTAGTTGGAAGCTTTCACCGTTACCTCAACAGATCGATTGGCGTTTGAAATGAACAGATCTAACCATGCCTTATAGACGACGTGCGGGGTCAGCAACATCTAGCCAGGCGTAATCTATCTTATTCAGTTATAACGTTCCTCGTCCCCCAGTCACTTCGCTTTGATCTACTGAGAAGCAGATCTCAACACAACAGGGTTCAGTATGGTCCATGCTGTATGGAATGATATAGTCGGTCTTGTCTAGACTGGCCCTGTTTATCGTCAAAATTTTGGCCATCCGTCCACCACTGCCGATCCCCGGTGCGCTTATAAAACAGGTCTAGTGATGTGTTATATAGCAGGCCTTCGCTGACCGACAAAACACACCCAATCCCACCCAACTACCATACGCACAGAACACCGCCACCTCTCCAATACACGGTGACTCAAAAAAACGGGCCCCCAACTTTCGATAGCTGTCATTTTCTCAACTCTTGTCAAAATCAATTGAAACTTGCATGTCAGTTACTTCGAAATGTTGGCAACATCACATCAAAATTTGGGAACCCTGTCTGGGTCAGTTCCAGCTCTGGATTCTACAACAGTTCTTCGAGATGGCTGCATTTTGGAACCGTGCATTTCTTGAGGTGCAAAGCTGCTGCTTTGGAGCCTTCCCCTGCTACATAGCTCGAAATTTGGTCCATCCAAGCCTTTATTCTGCTCCTAAAGGGGGTCCCGTGACGCCCAAATTGCGTCCCGAAGGTCACATTCGCGCTTCAATGCGGGTTAAGAGCCAGAGCACTGGGTTGGATATGCCACTTCAAGAATAAAACGGTACGGTAGATAACATTACTGCAGCCTACTGCAACCTTCCAAACCATTCAGAACACCCCAGGAAGCGTGCAGCTGAGCTGTCTGCGGGAAACAACTGCATGCTGTTGGCAAGGTAATGCACGAAAAAGCACGGCGGTAAATCTGCGGCACAACATTTAAAACAATGCAGTACAAAGAAGAAATGCCCTGGAAGATTCATTTTTTGGTATGTTATTGCCAACATATCAACGTACTCGCCACCGAAGTTTCATTCAATTCTTGCACAAAATACGGGTGTGAGGCTCATCAGAAGTTTTGGGTCCGCTTTTTTGGGTCACCTTGTACTGCAATGGCATTGACCAGCTCTCACGCTCGTGTTACTCACCCGCCGCACTTCGTCCGGGTACCACATCGGGTTGGAGTAGGGCACGTCATCCTCCTCCTCGGCGGCACCTCCTGCTCCTACAGGCCCGCCGACAGCTCCGGCAGGCCCGGCGACAGCTCCGACAGCTCCGGCAGGGCCGCCGACAGCCCCGGCAGGGCCGGCGGCGGTGGCGCCCTCTGCCTCTGGCGGCGGTGTCGGCGGCGCCGCTACCCCGGCTTCCTCGGCGGCGGCGGCCGCCCGGGCCCGGTCGCGCTGCCGCTGACGGACGCAGACGCGGCACTTCTGTCCGTACAGCTGGAAGAGCACGGTGCCGGCGCCTGGTCCCTTGTGCAGGAAGTACTGGAATGTGACTTGGCCGTGCATAGACGTCCAGGCGTTCTGGCATGTGTCCTGTCGACAAGAAACGGTCACGATAAGACACGGTGTAAAAACAACGGAATGCGAACAAAGTCATAGAGCTTATTTAAAAGCACAGCAGTTGTTCACAGCACGTCCCAATGTCCCATAAGTAGTCAGTAGTCACTGGTGCTGCCCACATCCTAAATCTCACAACCAAAGTAACATTATTCTGATTAGCTCACTTTCTCATACCATATACAAGTCGGTAACGATGGCACAACTCATGCTGCCTAATAGCCGCCTCCACCCAACCCCTCTCCCGCCTCCACCCCACCCCTTTCCCGACTCTAACCACCCCTCTTCCGCCTCTAACCCTCCCTCTCCCGCCTCCACCCCACCCCTCTCCCGCCTCTAACCCTCCCTCTCCCGCCTCTGACCCCTCAGGCCACTCACGCATCTGAACCGGATCTTGGCTGATGTGCTGAAGCACCGCCAGATATGGCTGGGCTTGGGCGTGGACGGCGGCTGCGGCACCAGGGCCCAGTGCTGGCCGGTCCGGTTGAACAGCTCGGCGAAGGCGGTCACCCAGACCACGTACATGCCGCTGCGGGGAAAGGAGGGCGCGGTTAGAACACGCAGAACAAGAACGTGCTGAAACGAGGGTGGTGCTGGGGTGGTGGGGGAGGACGAGCATGGGCGCTTAAAAAGTTTGAGATGTGACGGATGAGAGGTGTGCTGACCGGATGAGAGATGTTACACCACACGGCTTGAAAGTGATACGAATTCCCAGGAGCATGACGGTGACGGTGTAAAAGGGGTTCAGTGTAACAGCAAAGTTCAAGTACAGGCAGGCATACGATTGCAGTAATGGGAGGATGTTGGAGAAAATTTGAGTCTCCTCCTTTGTCTGGTAATATGAATTCAGGATATTTATCAATTAAATGGTACTTGGCGCACACAGGAAGTTCTAGCCACAGGCCATTGTTTCATCCAGTGACAACATGCCTGTCTGGGACGCCAGGTCGCCGGCAAGTGCATGCAAGGACGCAGACCGCCGCCTTCCACGCCAAATACCATCCCGATTTCATGCCGATGAACCGTGAATAGTGAGCCGGCCGTTCCATTGTCCTCCGTTGCCAGGAGCCCGGCAGTCCATTCACAGGTCTGCAATCACCCAAAAACGGCCAGCGTGTCGGTCCCAGACGGGCCGCGGCGGCCTCTGTGGCGTGTCGCTGGCCGCTGCAGAGCCGTCACCGGCCGGTGGACCACCCGCACCCGCCGCCACCACCGGCGGAGGGGACACGGGGACGCCGCGCCGGCCGTGTCACCGCGGCGGCCACCCACCCTCCCAGTCTCCCAGGCGATTACCGGCGCAGATACACCACTGCACGCCACGCCGTCTAGCCTTTCCCAGCGTTGGGGTTAGGTGTCGGCGCCGGCCGGTCTCGGTCACATTTCGATCCCGGTGTGTTCGTATCCACTCATGCATCGGTTTGGTTACGAAACCGGTGCCGTTTTTGGTCGTACCTGACCACACCGACGACAGGTGGGTGGGCACTGGACAGTCAAAGTAGGCGGATCCCCAACACAGTACAGACAGCCGTGCGGCGTAACAAAGGCGCTGATCGTCTACCACCGTCAGTTTTTACCGCCGCTGATCATAGACACCGCGACAACACAAACTCGCTGCAACAGCTTCCGCCCATCACCCTGACGACAGGTGCTCAAAGCACCCGCCGGAAACCTGCACGGCGCTTCTGCCCGCCTCCCGTCCTCATCAGCGCTCTCCCCTCCCGCGGTAGCCAGTTAACCACTGCTCAAACTGTCAGACATCCCCTCCTGGACACTCCGCTCATCAATACTCGAATGGGCTGTGACCACACAAATAAACACCCCGACACAGACCTGCCGACGTCAGTTATCCCCCATCTGCGCGACCTGAGGTGGCATCATTACATCGTATATCTGTGTCCCTCCGGAGCGCTGTGCTGTGACCATGCGGCATATCATTTTCTAGTCGCCCGAGCCACCGAAAGTAACTCGTCAGCCTCATCAGCGGATCAACTTCAAAGCGCGCCTGCTAACCGTGGTGCGCTCCATGACCGCGGCGGGCTATGGTGGCAATTATCACCCCGGCCACACCATCAATCTGCAGTGAGAAACATCGGCGTCCGTGCATGCGGCGCCGCAGTCTCGGCCGCCACCGCTCGTAAAACATACGGGCTGTAACCAGACTGCAGCGGACAGAGCGGGGAGCCGTCACCGCCGTCACCGCCGCGAGACAACACCCGCCGTGACCTTACCGGTGAGACAGGGGACGGCGTCGGGGGGGGGGGGGGGGGCGCTCGCCGAGACGCCGAGACTGGGGAACGGGATGGGCTGTGGCGAAGAAACTACCCAGCGTGAAACGTCAAAATCATACAATGCCCATATAGGGTAACCCACTGCAGTGCCGACAACGATAATGGTGATCTCGAGGCATAACTGTCAAAGACGCACGGGAAGACGAAACGTGGGGCCGAAACAAAGACGCTTAAAGGGACCATCCCACCTTAACATTAGTTTTGAGTTGAGATAGCCAAGTTTGCGGCCAGGCTCAGAAACCACCATTTATCCTGGTCGCAACCCCCGCAGCTTTATGGTGTTCAAGAAATTTCTTCCCTTTACTTGCAGGGTGGGACCAGCTTAGTCCCTATCTCTTAACCATTAGCGGTTTTTTGATGACGTCAGCAGTCATTTCAACGCCCGCCATTCCTTGAACCCGAGTTTTGCTGACCTTGAGCTCCCTTTTTTATCAACGTGAAATCCGTCGTCGGCGCTGAGAAAGCCTATTGCTTTTCATTTTAATTTGAATATTAGAAGATACCCACCACTGGAACTTGGACTGATATTATACCAAGGCCGAAGATGATCAAGCTGCCTGCTATATCTGGAGCTTGGTGTTCAACTTCAACATGGAATAAAAAACAAAATATCAAAGCAAACTGGATATGGTACTGCAAGTTAAAGTCCAAAGAAATTTGAAGAGCTGACAATTGACATTAATTCTTTCCCTGCAAGGTTTCCATATGGAGATCACAGTCACACCATGAAGAAATATTTTTGATGTTAACAGTTGAAAGGGGATTTATCTTCCAGTTTAGACGAAAGACGCTGCTGACTGTCTTTGGAAAAGGATGTCGGCATGAGGTGCAATTGTGCTTGTGAAGTGGTTATAACTGGTCTTTTCACAGTATTAAATTGAATGTGCCATTGCAGCCAAGTGTGTTATCATGTAAGGTAAAATCAAAACTACAATGTTGGTTTTACGAGCATTGAGAAGGCTGGTAGGTAACACCTGCCTGTGCTCGTAAATCATGCTGCCAGAGTATTCTAAATTAATTTTATCATACACTTTTGTTGTCCAGAATGGTTGCACTATTGTTTGGTATCATATTATTCCATGTAAATATGGTAGTGTAAAGTCCGACCAACATGTTACCAGATTTGAAGCTGTTACGTTACCTAAGTACCTGTTTTTTACTGGCGTGGTGAATGTCACCTGGATTTTGTTTTGAGGTGCAGACCTAGTAACTCTGACTACATGGGTTTGAAGCTATTATCTATTCTGTTTTTACTGGCCTGGTGAATGGCGACTGATGTTGTCCGTGGATGGCACTGAAACAAATTTTGAGTGTTTTGTACAGTGTTTTAATACAATGCTGAGGGCTGAAAGTTGTCTTGTTTAGAGTGGTGAAAGTTCAGGATATGCCAGCCACCATGGTGGGTCAGAGTTAAATGTGTTGCAGTCAGTTCGGCTTCGGCAAGCACACGGATGGGCATACGCATCGAGACCTGCTCTGCCATACTTTCAGCCAATTTTACCTAGGTAAGTCTTTTCTTTTTTCTGCCAAAAGCTATGACATTGTGAATTTCAGCACTGTGGCCTGTGTGTAGCTTTCAGGAAAGCAATTCTAAATAAAGCTCTGATAAAGTGCAAAATCAGCAATGCAGCCCTCTATTACATTTTCTACAACATCTTACTTGTTCCTTGCATGGAGAGAAAAATGCAATGTTATGAATTCGTTTATTCACATAATTTGACAAGCATGCAGTTACCTGCTACTATCACTGCACAAAACAGAGCAGAAAACATCAGTTGATCAAACACAAGACATAACAGAAGTTTACAACATAGGGCTGCCGAACCTGCTTCCTCCCACCACAGTTGATGCCATTTCCTAGCCTGGCTTGATGTGAGCACTGAATAGCTGCTTTGTCTAATTACAGCTCACTACCATTCAACTTAAACTACTCTCTAGTGAGAGCGTTCAGTGTTCATAGCAGCTCGACAGACGACAGACAACAAACATCTTGACAAACCAACCAGTATTTGATTTGGCTAATGATTTATGTGCTTGTTGTATCATGGCCAAACTACTTTAACAGCAATAATCCCTGTTTCATCTTGATCTTGCTTTTATTTCCATTTGAACTCAGATCTTGAAACAATCATCTGAAGTGATATCAGATACTGGCTTCTGTTTCTCTTGAAAGCAAGTTAAAACAACAATGATAAACTAAGGCAGGAGATGTGAGTTGTGGCAGTAGATTTTTGATCCAACATATGTCAACCTTATATTGCTTGAGACCTCTGTGACAGACAAACAAATATTTATAGTTTTTTGATAGTTTGGATTCTTGGCTTGATTTAGCAGATCAGCTGTGAACCTTGACTTTGAAATCACATAAATGTCATGGTACCCGAACGAATCCTCGCATGACATTTCTTCGTAGCACAATTTTTCGTCCGCATTTCTTCGTCTACAAATCTTCGTCGGTGTATTTATTTGTCCCTCAATGCTTACTCTTGCATATATTTGCGTTGAAGAAGAAATGCGAGCCGATTTTCATATACCCTGGTGCGAGACAAAGTAATGCGATAGGTACGAATAAATGCCCTGACGAAGATTTGCAGACGAAGAATTGCGATACGAAGAAATGCCATAAGAATTGTCCTGGAATCCTTTATTGGCCATCATATATTGACCTTGATAAGATAAACGCATCATTCGCGCAATATTTGTCGCACTTTGATACCAAACTATTGCTTCCAAATGCCGACGTAAAGAAAACCTTTATGTGACGTCATAGAAACAGCGGATTTCCCTAAAAGTAAACAAAAATAAAAGTCTTATATCTCGAAAACGGGTGAATATTTTCCGGTAAAATTTGGTAGATGTTCATTTTCGCTCTTTGTGATTCACGCTACATCACTTTTATGCCAATTCATTAACTTTTTTGAAGGTGGGAGGGTCCCTTTAAAGGGACCCTCCCACCTTCAAAAAAGTTAATGAATTGGCATGAAAGTGATGTCGCTCGGTTCAGAAAGATCAAAAACGAATATCTACCAAATTTCATCGAAAAATATTCACCGGTTTTCAAGATATTAGACTTTTACTTTTGTTTACTTTTTGGGATCTCCGCTGTTCCTAGCGACTTTATTTGAAAGTGCGGCATTTGTTGCGCGCAAAGCAACATATACCACCGCGTGCTACAAAACGTTTTAGTCAAACATTTAACGGACGTTCGAAAGCCTGATGACGTCATCAGATTCCCGTAATG